GGGAAAGCTGTGCCTGGGTCTGGTCCTCCCGACTTCCTCGCTGGCCTCCTGTCTCTACACTTGTCAACTGAGGTGTCTCCCTGGGCTCTGGCCCATTCATCCATGGAGAGCAGCCTGTTCATTCTCTCCTCAGATGGAGTCTTTTTTCGTTTTATATTTCCTATCTTTTTAATGATTTTTTTGACTTTAAGATTTAATGATTTTTAATGATTTTAAGAGGCTTTACAAATCAATCAGAATTTGGTGATTTTAAGTGATTTTTGGGTTTTATCCAACCTTTTCATCATGCTTTTTGCTTAAGAGACAGAGCTAGGCCCAGTGTCTCAGCAAGTATTTAACAGTTTCATGCCACATATGGGAGGAGGGACCTCACCCTGCTGTCAAGGCCTAGTGCACACAGCCACCGAGAAAAGGAGTTCACACACTTCACAGACGCAGAGCTCTTTCCTTCCACTTTTCTTTTTTTTGAGACAGAGCTTCACTTTGTTGCCCCTGGGAGAGTGCCCTGATGTCACGGCTCACAGCAACCTCAAATTCTTGGGCTCAAGGATGCTCTTGCCTCAGCCTACCAAGTAGCTGGGACTACAGGCGCCCACCACAACACTCGGCTAGTTTTAGAGACAAGGTCTCGCTCTGGCTCAGTCTGGTCTGGAACTCCTGAGCTCAGGCAATCCACCTGCCTCAGCCTCCCAGAGTGCTGGGGTTACAGGCCGTGAGCCACCTCGCCCGGCTCTTTCTTCCACTTTCAAACGCTTGGCTCTTTTCCCAGGCTCCTGTGTTCACAGTGACGACGGCCCTGCAGCCCTATCTCATCTTCCCCCTGCAGTGTGCCGCCGCCCCCTGCAATGTGCAGACACTTTCTAAAAATAAAAACAGAACCTTTAATTAAGTTGTGCTTTTTGCTGCTTTCCCACCTGGCTCAGAGCTGAAATCAAAGCTCCGAGATACAGCCAGGCCAGATGAGGATGCAGTCTGCAGGGATCCCCACGGTCCCTCCCTGCCTCCTGAGCTGCCATCAAAGTCTCCGCAAGTGCCCTGGTCAGGGGAAAGGAGGGGGGTTTGTGTTCATGGAGATCTGAGGCTTGTGCTTGAGTTGGGGGGTTGACTGCAGCCCCTCAGCCCAGCTGCTCAGTCCAGCATCCACTGCTCTTGGCTATGGACACTTCTCATCCCCTGCAAGGCTGCTAGGCCACAGGGTGTCTGGCAGGCTCAGTGAGCGCCGGCTGGAAGCCCTGTCAGAGGTGGTGGGGGCCTAGGGCCACAGACTCGGGGTTCCACGTGCAGCAGCCGTGGGAATGCGGGGGCTTCAGCACCCTCCACCCAAGGCAGGGCAGCTCCTGACCAGAGGAGACTCAAGCTGAGTTTTGATGAAATACTCCCCTCATTCCTCTGCCTTGGACATTTACTCAACCTTCCCGGGTTATAATCAGCCTCTGCTCTGTTCTCAAATTCCTAATGAACCACCTGCTTTGTTGGGCTCCAACCAACCTATAATCTTTCTCTGATGAGAACGGTGGCCTGCCCTGAGTGTCAGTGACCACACTCCCAGAGGTGACAGCTGAGAGAACCTCACCAGCCTCCCTACAACAATTCAACACGCGGAGAACACGACCTGCCCCTCGTTGTCCGACCCTGCGTCGGCAGTCCTCACTACATGCAGACAGCAGGCCCCCACGTTATCTATTCATTCCGTGCTCCAGGTGACCCAGATACACCACTGGATCTACCCGCAGAGTCACCCCTTAGAAACCTACAGAATGGTCCTCATCGTAGCACAAACAATACATAGTTATCAACTGAGTTGATTTATGATACACAGTACATACACACAGACACTCAAGTCCCCTCCCCTCCCCCTCATCCCAGCAACCAACTTACGGGCTGTCCTTTTGGTCCAGGGGGTCCGGGTGGTCCCTGCACAAATACAAAGAAACTTGTAAACTGTTTTCTTTACCCCGGGACCCAGATAACATCTGCTAGGAAGCTCTGGGAAAGCCATTTGCTGTATACTTAGAACGCAGTGCGGGTTGTGGGCTGGGCAGAAGGCCCAGGGCAGCTCCAGCTCACAGAGCAGGCCAGTTGGCTCCGCGCAGCTGTTTCTGCTTTGCTTTGTGTTTAGGCTTTGACTTCACCCGCGCCCCCTCTGTTTGTTCTGATCGCTTTGCAAGGTCCCAGGCCCTGGGACGCAGGGACAGTCCTCATTCCCTCTGGGAGTCCCCTCAAGACACTGTCCACTGTCCTGCTGGTGGCTCAGCACGTGTTCATGGACAACATTCATTCACAGGCCAGCAAGCAGAGCGGGAAGTCCGTCTGCAAAGCTCTCAGCAGCAGCACCATACTTGGATGAATGCCTTTAAAATGCTCAGGGAGAGTGTCTGAGCACAAAGGGACAGATGCAAAGGCATCACGGACAAGCCTGGGGTGCACCACCAGCTGTGGGCCTACTGAGTGCCACCAGCTGCAAGCCTGGTGAGTACCACCAGCTGCGGACCCCGTGAGCACCACCAGCTGTGGGCCTACTGAGTGCCACCAGCTGCAAGCCTGGTGAGTACCACCAGCTGCGGACCCCGTGAGCGCCACCAGCTGCGGGCCTCCTGAGACCCACCAGCGGCAGGCCTACTGAGTGCCACCAGGTGTATATCTAGTGAGCACCACCAGTGCCACCACCTGCACACCTAGTGAGCATAACCAGGTGTGGACCCAGTGAGCGCCATCTGCTGTCAGCCTTCTCTGAACTGTGTATTTAAGGTACAAAATCTCTGACCACGTGGCCTGGGTGCTGGGACGAGGCCACACGCGTGCACTAAGAGGGCAAGACCTCTCACCTTACGGCCCTTGTCCCATCCCCTTTTGCCCAGATCTCTCACAGGTGGGGACAGCTTGCCAAAAGCTTTCATACCACCAGGGAGATTTGCTTTGTAAAGACAAAATCTATTATTATGTCTGAAGAAAATGATGAGCACTGGGAGGCGCCAGTGGCTCAAAGGAGTAGGGCGCTGGCCCCATATGCCGGAGGTGGCAGGTTTAAACCCAGCCCCGGCCAAAAACTGCA